ATCCCCTAATATTTTTAATTACATCTGACGCGTAACTTTAATGCCTGTCAAGATTTTGCTTTATGCCTTTAGACATGCAAATTCTTAATTGGAGAAATATGAAGAAGATGTGAACTGGTATGAAGAGCCTGCTGACTAGGCAACCACTTGATATTTTCATTCTGTTTTTCGCACGCATTACTAGTGACGGATCTATTGTCATAGACAGAGTTGGGAGGCAGAGTGGCGTCCTCTGGCATCTCCGCCGTCAAAGCCGCAGTTGGTGACGTGTGAGACAGCTCATCCACTCAGGAAAGGCCGAGCAACTATAGGCATAGCCCAGAAGACGAAGGCAGAATCTACTTAGCTAAGTGTAGACCTTTCAAAGCACTGAGGAACAGTTTACCAGGTAGCCTTGGAAATCTTCTTCACGAAGCCAAGTCTACTGGACACAATGTCACTTTGTCATCGAATTTGCGGTGCCACTATTTCAATGTCGTGGACACTTTTTTTACGCCAACTGCCTGTCTATCGGAAAGCCCAGTGAGGATAGATGAGAGGAGGGCTGCCTGTCTATCCCCATTAATTAACATATTGACTGTGAACTTAGGGATTATGTTAACGTTAATGGTTCACTTCTTGCCTATGCACGCCCATGTATTGTGATAGGTCGTCTTGCGTGCAAGAAGGAAAAGAGTTACTCAGGAGCTCTTTCAATTAAATTTGCTCCCTTTTGGTGTAGCAGTTGCATTTGAAGTGTTGCCTTCTGTTCGATTGTAGTTTAGTCCATCCAGTTACTTCCAACAGTAGAATTATTGAGAGTGGTCATTCGGAGCTCCCCAATATCTCAAAAAAGTCATTTCACACCTAATTTACGGGCACTTCATTTTAATTTTTCCAAATGCATGATTTGATTCATTATGCATTACTGAAAACTCTTCCGCAGTCTGTGATTTTACATTGATTTTGACCAGATACCTTTGCGAGCAAGGTGGCAGCCATCGGTGACAAGTACGCCGACTCCTCCATCTGTAATGTGACGGGCAGTAACGCGGTGAATGTGTTCCTGGGCATCGGAGTGGCATGGACCATCGCGGCTATCGCTCATTGGGTGCGCGGTTCTACCTTTGTGGTGCCTGCGGGATCTCTCGGTTTCTCCGTCACCATTTTTTGCATTTTTGCCCTCTTTGCGATTGGATTGCTTGTGTTGCGTCGTAAACCCGCACTTGGTGGTGGAGAACTGGGCGGCCCTCGTCCCGGCATTAAGTGGGGCTCTGCCGTCTTCTTTCTTCTCCTCTGGCTCATATATGTGCTGCTCTCGTCACTGGAGAATTATTGCTACATTGTGGGCTTCTAAGAGGTTTCATCACTCCTTCCTTTCTCAACTCTCCACCATTTATTTCCTCCACGCATTGTGATTCCTAGATGTTATTATTGAGGCGTTTTTTGTAGTTTCTGGAGCATATTTCTCGCGCCCTTTATTTCAACTCTATTCAAGTCCACCTCCATTGTTTCTCCGTGTCCCCACTCCACCTGTATCACCGGGACCTCACTTCACCAGAGTGTGTATGTGTGTGTGTACACAATAACTGACTGATGAAATATCATGTCTTTTCCTAGTACTTGATCCCATTCTCGTTTTTAACAGGGCCATGGCAAATGGAAACTGGGACTCCTTTAGTACCTTTTTAGTGCAAAGGATGCATCGTTGGTCTTAAGGTAGGATGCAATCTAAAGGTAGTGTTCGCATTTTATCCCTTTCTCTTTTACTACTGCCGACTTTGTACAACCTTTTTTTTTTCAAAGAAAGTGGGAATTGAGGGTAATGTACGCTCGGAGTTTTGGAGTGAATCAGCGTTATCTATGAACACACTAGCGTGGCCACTGGAACGAGTACGCTTGTTGATCTGTTCTTCAGAGTTTTGCAATATGGAGTAATCAACACGTTTTCGGTACTGCCAACCCTTTCAACAGCAGACGGTACGAATTATGTAAGCCAAAGCCAATACCTGTCTGATTTATGATCTTCGGAAATGTTGAAGGAATTCCTCAACATTGGCGCAAATATTATATTTTCATCTGACAAGCGTTTAACCATATCGGAGCTTGCTAGCTGCACGATTTTGTGTCCACGCATACATGGAGACTTGAATTTTTCATATGTCCCCTTGTGTCATGCATCAGATAGTTGTCCGCACCATGGGAAGGCGAATTACGAAGTTACAAATCCTACGATTGAACTAAAAAGAGCCTTGTCATAAAAATCCTTCCTCGGTACAGACAAGACCTCCCATCATTGTGATCAAAAACCACATAGTAAATGCTAGAAAGAGAACTGCCGAACAGACCATGATAATTTACCACTGTTTCAGGAATTGTCTTTCCAAACATTCACAGTAAATCTCATTCACACCACTTTTCCCTTTCAGAAACACATAACTGAAGGCTACTAGTGTGCACACTAATATGAATAAAACTTTCGACCTTCACCTAGTCCTCAATATTCATTTCGAGTTAGTAAGGTCATATCATCCCTGGGAATTCAATTAAGAATGCGTCCACTCTACAGCACTTTACACCTGCTTTTTAGAACAGACACAGGTAGGACGAATTTGATCGGAACATAGACAAGACAGAAGCACTGTGCGCCTAAAGGTTACACCAGTAAACTTATTCTGATACAAAGAGCATCAGTTAAGAGGCACTTGATAAAATACTAAATTAACAAAAAGCGACTCAAATACGCGACGCTGTTCCCACCTTCGGCAAGTGCATGACAAACTTCATTGCATTTTCCGACACCAATGTTCGCTATTAGCATTCCAAGTGATATCATAAAGGCGCACAAACATGAAACAAACCAGCATAAATAACACCGTTGCAGCTCTAATTAACCATCAGGCATAAATCACTCCCCTTTAACCCTGCGCAATTGAATCTTTTGTTTATGCCTTTTCGTCCTGCAACAAGACCTTTCTTAACGATAAAAGATATGTGCATGGCTACTGGAGTCGAGACAATGGC